TAGGGCACCCCTTTTTTTTTTTTAGAAAAAAAAGCCTTTGTCAACTAGAAATACTTATTTCAGCAGCTGAAGTCAATTAGCCATGAAGAAAAATTTCATCTTTGTAAATTGTTGCTTCAATCAGTTCAGTCTACAAAGTGGAGTGGGAGTTTTAACAGAAGGGTACTGGCCCTTAGTAGGTGGAATGAAGATGGCCTGTGGGCTGTCAGTTCTGAGTTCCAGCTGTGTAATGCCTGTGAGGTGGCTCAGGTGGCTAAGCATGTCAGCAGCCCAGCCACTGGTGAGAACGCTGGCTCTGCCCAAGTGAAGATTTGGACCTAGCCCTGCCAGGAATGAGTTTGCACAAAGAACTGATTTATTGGTGCTTTGCTCCTGTCTGACTGCCTTCTCCCTGCCTCCGTCCCTCCATCGTTTGGAGATTTGTGTTCAAATCTTTCCCTGCACCATCCAGCCATCATCCTTGGCTGTCCTCAACTCGTATTGAAGTCCAGGACAATGAAAAGCTCACAGGAGGCTGTGGATAGAGGCACAGATGAAGCTTGTGGACCAGGAGACAACTGGAAGAACAGCGCTGCATTAGGGAACTGCCAGATGTCAGCATCTGGCAGCTTTTTCTCTGTATCCACTCAATTGCATTAGAATCCTCCCAACTGACTGCCAGAGTTCCTGGGACCCATGCAGCGGGCATATGTCCAGTTCATTCCTCTGGTTTTCAACTCTGAGCCCTGCCCTTTCACCACTAGGCCACTTCACAGGGGCCTTGGATGTTGAAGGAAACAAATGCCTTACCACCTATAACCAAAAGGCTTCTCTGCTCAACATAAAGTCAGTTTGTGTGTGTAATCCTCTACATGGCAGGCACTGGGCAAGTGCTGAGGAGAGGAAGTGAACTTGAGGCACGTCCTCCCATCTGGAAAGCTTGGAAAGGAAGAGGCTGTGCCCAGGCAATGGCTCTTGGGCACAGGCATCCCACGGCATTGTGGATAGCAGGGTTGGTGTTGTGGCAAGTTAAACCTCTACCTGCAACACTAGTTCAACACTCACCTGCTTGACTTCTGATCCAGCTCGCTGCAGGCGGTGGAGGCTGGCTCAAGTAGTTAGGCTCTTGCGGCCATGTGGAAGACCCAAACAAAGCCCTGGCTTTTGTCTGGCCCAAGCCATCTGGAGGAGTGACCAAGTGGGTGTAAGATATTCTTTCTCTGCCTCTCTTCTCCTCTCTCTGTAACTTTGCCTTTCAAATAAATGAAAAACAAATCTTACAGGGAAAAAAAAGTTGGGTGGCTTTACAGATTGCACCCATTAATTATTGCTCAGTGATTCCAAAGAGAAGTGGTGAACCCAGCCTGGATTTTCCAATCACTCCTCCAGCCAAGAGGCTGTTGGCTTCTCATTGGTCTCTCAGGACTACAGATCTTCCAGTGCCGCCCCCCAACACCACACTCCCTCGGGCCTCCCACTGGTGGCTACACTCTGAGAAAAGACCCTGGCATTCAGGGAAGAGTTTGAAAACCGCCTTGCCGAGCTGCTTTCCAACCAGTAAATAGGTCGTCACCATAGAAGCCTCACTAGGGTGGCTGCCAGGCAGTGCTGTTGGGCTTCTGACTCGAAGTCCTGAGAAGTTCCAAGGACATCAGCTCGGCAGGGTAGAGGAGCACAAAAAGAGCATGGTCTGTGCTCATGAGCTTATTCATCCTCAGCTGACCTAGCCAACAACCCTGCGTTTTCAGATAGGCCCAAAGATGGCACCACGGAAGTCTCTTTGTTAGCACTGTCCCAAATAGCAGACAGTTTGAGGGTTGGCTCCAGTGCCAGAGACGGAAAAGCAGGTGAACATAGATCCTAGGGATCCAGCGGGTGGGGGGGGGGGGGTCTGTGGTGTGGGCTGTGCCTTGTTTATGTTGCACTTGCAGTTCCCGGTGAGGACAGCCCACGTGCTCTCTCGTCCTTGTGGCTGCCTTCTGCCTTGCATTTTTCCTGTCACTTGAGAAGCATGGGAAACTATGCTGTGACAAGCCCCTTGCAGCTCTGTTGAGGCTATAAAATCCAGACAGCACCTGAACGCCTGAGCTGCAGGTGGCTTCTACTCTGCCCGTGTCTGGGGCTGTGTGGTAAGTCCTTTTACAGAGCCCTTGCAGGCTGCTCTGAGGGTGCTGTGCTCTGAGAGACTGTGGTGTGAGCTAATTAGAGAATCTTCTAGTACCTTTTGGTACTGGACGCTTCTCCCTTCTTGCTCAGCTTCAGGTCTGTGAGTGTGCAAACGATGACCTGAGGCAGGTGGCAGTGACCTCATCCCTGGTGTGCCCAGGTTTGGCTCTCCCCAGGCCTCCTGCAGCACCTGAGGTTAACCTTGCTGTCCCTGTTGAATGGTATACAAATGGTGGAGTGTTGGTAGATGTGGCTGACAAGCCAGTTTCCAGAAATGGTCCAACTGCCAGCTCCTAGAGCGTCCTGCAGCTTTGAGACTCATGGAGGTTTCTGTCCCACAAAACATGCGCTCAAGGAGGTTATACTTTGGAGCGTTTGCACTTCTTTGTTGAAGTCTCAGACGAACAAGCCCAGCGTTTACCTGGGAACGGCTGCCCATTTCGTCTCCTAGGCCTTGCGGCAGCAACTCCTACATATGCAAGCATTCCGGGGGGTAGTGTTCACTCACCTGGCCCCTCATGTTGTCATCCTGCAGAGGAGTGCACCACTCAGCAGTGCCTGGGGAAAGCCAGAGAGCCCGGCTGCAGCCCCCAGCCTCATCCTTTGGGTCTCTAACCCGTTTCCTTTCAAGAGGTTTTGGCATCAGCTGCTTGTCTCAGAGAGGGGGCAGCTATCAAAGCAACTGTGGATATGTCACACTGAAAGCTCAGCAGTGTCGTGAGGTCTGATGCGGCGAGTCACACTGAGCACAGGCAGCTAGCCAGGCAGCGGATGATAGTTGGTTGGTCCTTGCTCGCACTCAGCAGCTGATGCTATGCCCTGCTGTGCGGGCCTCCCCCTATCTGCAGACATCACATAGCGTACCTCATTTGGAGTACAAAACGCCAAGAGGTATTTGAAGGGTTGCCTGAGAAAACATTTAACTGGGAAAAAAAGGACAGGGTTAGGCTGATACATGCCCAGCAGCCTTGCTGTCTTGGTGGTTACCAGAGTGCTTGTTCTAGGAAAAGCAAAATCCCCCCCCCAAGTTGCAGTGAAATGATTTCTGGGCTTGTTTTATGTTTTGTTTGGGCATGGACGAGGGGCATTAAGAAGTCCATTTGTAAGATATGTGAGCGTTCATCCAGCATCTATCATGAGGCAAAATAAGAACTGCATAAGCCTCACCTTGCAGAAGCTGAGCACCCGTGAGCCTTGGAGACGTAAGGTGACAAGATGTGGTTGGTGTGAATGCCGTGGGCCAGGCCTTCAGGACAGGCACTAGACGGCTGTGGGACTTGGTATAAGGCGCTTCTTCCCCTCTTCCCACAGAGACTGCGAGCCTAATGAAGAACGTGGTAGACATTTGTGTGTGCAGGGAGGGTAGTGTATATGTGCACAAGTGCATATAATAGCAAAGGAAGAGTAAGATGCAAAACAGCCTGGAGAAGTCCTTCCTTGTGGGATTTTATTATGTAACTTGAGAACAAAGGTAGCCTTTGGAAGGCAGTTGGTGGGAATGGTATGAGGTTTTCCAGTAGGTTTCAGGAATAAAGAAAACAGACAAAAGTGGGAGATGATATCGAGATATCCGCGGGCCTCTTAACTCTTGCCGCTCTTATGTGCTCCCTTACTCTGTCTCTTGTTTTAATATTTGGCTTTCCTGGACCCGCGGTGATAGAGGCCCAGGAAGCAGAATGTCCAAATGGTGTGTCCCTGGAGTGAATGTTCACAATACACAGAACGTGAGATTCGTGAACGCTGAGCGGCAGGCCGATGCTGCTGTCCAGTTGGAGTCTGGGAGTTGAGAGCTTTGGAAAACAGCTTTCAGGCGGCCCTGCTTGCCACCCAGGTGTCTCTGCCCGCTGTGTCGCTCCCCTTCCCCCGACACCTGTTAATGTACTCAGGAGTTAGTGCGTGTCTCCTACATGTCCTGTGTGCTGTAAACGCTTCCTGTGCCGAGGTGCTTGGAACCTGCACCTGTCACTACATCAAAGAAGGGGAGTGAGTCTCCAAGTGCAGCTGGGAGACTTCTCGTAATGAAATGCTTTTAAACAAGGCAGGAACGAAAAGGGATCTGTGTGAAATGACTGAACGTGCACTCCCTCTCCTGCCCTTGAGTTCTTAAAAGTTTTGGGGCTTTTTTTGTTTCTGAACACACTCGGTCATTTCTGCGAGCACCTTGAAGCCTGTGTGGAGGCTGGGAAAAGGATTGTGTGGCACTGTGCCAGGGGACTCGCTATTCCAGAGCGTTGTTGTAGCATTGGGGTGAGTCCCTTAGAGGAGGACAGTCTCTCTTACAAATGTGGGCCTTGTTGACTCCTGACGGGTTGTAGGGAGAGTCTAGAGGAGGTATAATGGACTCATTCTCCACTGAAGGAGACAGGAGGCTGCCCTGCAGAATATGAATCGGAGCGCTGCAAAGTGTTCAGTGGACAGGAACAATACTCAGTAGATTTCCAGATTGATGGAGCCTTCCAATGGAAACTAATTTGTTCCAGCATTGAAGTGAGCATAATTAAGACTTTCTTTCTTAGGCCGATTAACCACCGAAAACCATGCCAACATTGTAACCGCAAGCAGTGAAAACCAATATTTACGAGGGGGATTGTGCAGGAGTTTGTGTGACAGATGGGCATTTTATCACTGTTGATGTTTGGAATGCCCTTAAAACGTAACGCAATATCTTGTTCTCTGTGAATGAATGAACAAATGATTGTGCTGTGCTGTGCTGGCCGGGTTTTCTCTGAAAAAGAGGCACATGAAATTCATCTCTTTCTCTCTTTAGCCTCTGCCACTTGATATCAGATAGTCCTGTATATTCTGAAACAAAACCTGGGGGGAAAAAAAATTCTTGATTTTTGTTTTTCTTGCAGATACCGATCCACGTGTTTTAGAAAAACAAGAACTACAGCAGCCAACCTATGTCGCCCTCAGTTACATTAATAGGTAAGCCATTTTCGGAACTGGTTTGCTGCCTCACCTACCTGTCCTGTTGCTTTGTTTTGTTGTTGTTTGTTGTTGTTGTTTGGATACTCTCTTTTGAACTTAGTGGAAAAACAAGCTGACTTTTCAAACTCAGGGGAGCTGGCTTGCATGAGATGATTTCCAAGCAGCCTCTGTGTGGAATTTTCTGGTTTCCCTGCCAGGGAGATGTGGAATTGCCGTTCTCTGCGCACGTGGCTGAAACACGACTGATTTATAAGCTCGTTCTGGAAGTGTTTTGTATGTAGAGGTGGAATATGCTCTTGCGACTTCATAGGGCAGTTTGGAAAATTAATGGCTTTAGGTGGTAGTGAGCCTTTTAAATCCTGGGGTGAAGAGGTGCTTTATGAGCCCAGAACATGGTTGGAATATCAGAATGTAGCAAATTGAAATAATTTAATATCAGAAAGTTATTTCGCGGCAGCTCATCTTTTAGTGCAAACCTTCTCAGCAGTGGGCCCCGCTGGTGTAGCGTGAACATGAGTTTTCACTTAAAATGAACCGTGTGAGCCCAACCCTGGAGCAGTTGATCTATCGGGTCTAAAAGAGGACTTAGTGTTTCAGCCAGCCCTGCTCATTAAGGAGACAGTAATTTTTGGAGAGAACCTGAAATCGACTTGGGTTAAGAAAACACATGCCCTGAATGTGAAGGGGGGAAAAAAAAAGACAAAGTGAAAGCAAACCTGGTTTTTAATGAGAAGGAAAAACACTCCGGTCATAATTCAAGGGGTGAATTTCCCCGACTGTCCCTCTCATGGTGGGCGAGGAGTGATGGGGGTCCCCTGGTACCCGAGGGCGCGTTCGGAGTCTGAAGTGGAAAGCTGGGAATAAATTATCTGTCCTGTTTTCGAGCCTTGTTAGAACACCCAGTTAATTCTCGCCCAGATAGGGTTGTGAATGGAGTCGCCTGTGCTCGGTTTCAAGCCCTTACGTGAAACATGTTCATACAAGGATTTAATAGCATAAACGTCGATTCAGGTATCTCCCTGGACTTCCTGCCCATCAGCCCTTCCCAAAAAGCATGAGAAAACTCTGCGTTTCTGCTCCCTGTGATATTTAACATACGTTAGAAAGGGTGCATTCAGACTCCCATCGACTGCAAACACAAATGTGTGCTTACCTGGATCTCCCACAGAACTTGAGCTGTGTGCAGCAGTTGGCCACGGTTAAGAAAAATCTTCAGAGTTCTGTGAATGAATCTTTGTAGCTTACTATGTTGGAGAATGACATAAATAGTCTTATAGAGTTAGTCGTATTATTGGACTTTGAATAATATGACAGTTCTGTTTTGGATAAAATGTGTCCTCCATATATTGACTGACCTATAGAACACTAAAGCTTGTTCTAATTGGAGTCTCGGAAGCTTTTGGGCTTTACATTGCTGGTCAAGGTGGATGCTGGGCACAGGCCCACACTCTCATATCGAAGTGCCTGGAATCTAGTCCCAGTCCTGGTTCCAATCAAGCTGCTTGCTACTATATAACCTTGGAGGCAGCAGAGACTGGCATAATTGGTTTCCTGCCACCCACACAGGAGACCAGCTTGAGTTCATGGTCCTCAGCTTTGAGCCTGCCCAGCACTGGCTAGTGTGGGCATTTGGAGAGTGACCTAGTAGCTGAAAGTTTGATATCTCTTTCTCTCTCTCTCTCTCTGCCTTTACAAATAGATAAATACAAATGAGTAAAATTTAAAATAGACGACAGTTACGTTAGGAGCAAGTGTGTGTCTGTGACACTTGCTGTAGTCACAAGTCCATTCTGTTTGGCTTGGCTCAGGGCTGTTAGAGAAGTGTCAAGGCCCTCCACCCACCCACCCATACACACGCAGAAAAGTCCACCAGAGAACCTGTAGCAAGTTGAGCATAAAATCTGCGGTGATATGTGCTGGAACCCCGTGGAGTCAGAGTGTGAGCCGTGGGCAGGGAATTTCTTGGAGGAGTCTTCAGGGAGTGAGTGAGTCATGTTTAAAGCAAGCATTTATTATTACAGCTGTATACCAGCATTGTAGAAAATTAGAATATACAGTCAGACGAAAATGTGGGAAAAAAAATTAAAACAACATGGTCCCGCCACCCAGATATCACTGCTGGTAACACTTCAACACATATTCTCAAATCATTTTGTAAAAATATGTGTGCATAATGTTTACCCCAGAACTGGGCAAAGCTTTTCACGGCTGCCCTTACGCAGTCATGGATCCTGACTTTTTCATTTCGATGCATATGGAACTTGGTTTCTTTAGCCCCCTGTTGTGTGTATAAGTGAACCTAGATCCCTCCCCGTGAACACACCCTCCCCGTGTGTACCCTAACTGGGGATGAGAAGAGCCGTGTAAAGCCATGGCCAGCTCCACTGGGAGGCAAGGCAAAGGCCCAGGCCCCTGTGTTTTCAGGGATCTCGTGAGTGGAATGATGGGATGGCTCGTGTGGAAGAATGAAAACCCTAAGCAGCTCCTTAGAACCCTTTGGTGTCTGATGCAGTGTGCAAGGGGCTAAGACGTGGTTCCTTGCTCTGCAGATCATCTGCCCCTGGTGTCTGAACTTGGAGCTTGGGCTTCTTCCGCTGCCCGGGATCTTCCAGCATCTCTTCTGTGGATGCTCTCCCAGGGACTCTGTCACTCTGCTTAAGCAAGTCCAGGCTGACCCAGTGCTTCATGTCCACATCTCAGACTGCAGATGCCGAGTATGTCGGAGCTGAGCTAAGGCTGTAACTGACAGGGGTCATGAGCCATTGCATGCGATTCCTCCCTCTTCTGTAGTCACTGCCCCAGCTGGACTGGGACACAAATCCCACTGGACTTACCCCTATTCCCTGGCTGAAACATCTTCAGTACATTGGAATATAAATAAATATTCATATCAGAGTCACATCCCCATACACGCTGCCCTGATGGTCCAAATGTGTGCTTCATAGCTGCTGCCTCTATGCCAGTGTCCAGGCCAGACCTCTCTGTGGGCACCTGGATGACCTGTCTCTTGGATCTCCTTTAGTCTGGCACAGTTTGTCATTGAAAGTGACTCAGGTGAGAGAGAGGCTAGCTGTGTCACAAATTGCACCTCATTTTGCATTTTTTTCGGTTACCAACTCAAACTGTTTTCTACTGTGTACTTGCTCTGAACTGGAAGTTGGATCAAGAACCAGACACCTCAGTGCATTTAGAGGCCTGTGCAGGTGGAGAATTCACCTGAGCACGTCTTACTGCTAGGATCCCTAATGGTTTTTACATGAAGAACTGTGTATGGAAGGCTGCGTGCATTCCTTATAGCACAGGTCACATGTGGGACTGCTAAGCAGGGCCTCACGCACAATGTCACTGTACTCAGAATACAGCATGTGTGAGAGGGAGGTAAATAGATACCTAGTAAACGGAGGGGGTCAAGCAAGGGAGCCCTGCAAGCGGAAGGCAGCCTTAGGGGACCATCATGCATTTTCCAAGTTAGGGTGAAGCCAGTATAGGCGCAAGGAAAGAGTCCTAGGATTAGGGAATACCACAAAGTTAACTTGAGAGCAGGCTGCCAGATAGAGTAGAAAAGGGCACTATTTTTGAAAACAGAAATTTGAACAAAAAATTTTTTTTCCCTTAAACCTCAGAAGAAAATAAGCTCTGATTCTGCTGAGCAGCAGAATCAGGAAAATAAAGAATATTCTGCTCACGATCTGTCCAGATCCAGTGGCTGGATGTGGGCCTCGCCACTGAGATGTAGCATTGTTTGTAAGAAGCCCGCTTACCCCAGGGAGAGGGCTTCAGTCCTTGCAGTGGAACCATCCTTTAGGTGATTTCTTTTCTAAGAAAGAAAAAAAATTACTGAGAAAAAATTGATGCCTTTATTTTGTTCATTTTCTGTTACTCTACACTGTTGTAGACGTGCATGTTCAACATATTGAGTATTTTCAAGTATCAAAGATTTTTTTGATTTCCTTTAAAGCAAGTCTAGCTAAGGACAGGTTTGATGGAAGTCAGCTGGATCTTGTCTTCAGTCAGCTACAATAGTGCGTGCCATACAACCTCGGAGAGCCCCACCGAGCCATTGGGAAGGAGTGAGAGTGAGAACGAGTGAATGATACAGTATAGGAAGGCCCTGGCTTCAAATCCCCCTCCAGTCTCAGGACCCAGAATCTAAGCACAGGATGGCCTGATTGACTGGAGTGTTAGGGCGCATTCTTTGTTGGAAAAAATAAGAGGAGGACTTGGAAGACTAATACTGGAAAATAGCATAGGACGGCTAGGCAGAGGAGACATACATACACACGAAACACAGAATTGGTTGCTGTGCCCTGAATAGCTGGAGGTTAGCAGGCTGCTAGGATGAACTGGTGGGAGCCGGCAGAAAGTGAATATGCTGAGGCAGACCTAACCAGCAGAGCATGTATGCAACACTCTGCTCCTGTGGAATGGGAGGGTCCGCTGGTATAGCAGGCCTGTCACGGGGAAGGCCCCTCGGCACGTCCATAGGACAGGGCAAGCAGGGTCTCCTTGGAAAGGTGTTTGGGCAGAAACCTCAGAGTGTTTCTGTGTTCTAGATTCTCATGTGAATGGTTAAGGAACCTGTCTTATGAATAGCTTATAAATAGCTTGTGTCCTCAGAATCAGGTCACTGAGATAACTTGAGGACATGCTAATGCACATGTCCTCTAAACTACACTCTAAAGTACACTGTATTGTCTACAGAATATGTTTTTAAATAGTTTATAAGTTAACTTCAGTTATAGATGGCATTTGGTGAGGGATTTAAAGACTGCCCATGCCTAGGCATAAGCTTTAACCTTCTTACGTTAAAATCTTGTTATTTATTAATGAGCATTTAATATTTTCCTGAAGCTAAACTACTAGTCTCCACAGTACTTAGTGTAGTAGCTGTGGGCTTGACCTCGAAAATTGATTTTTATTTAGGTTAGTAATTGTTCTGAAACAGCAAATTTAAGTGTATTTTGTAGAACAGTAATTCCAAGGGCCTTCACCATTCT